ACCAGCACAATAAAACTAAAAACACGCAGAGTTGGTTAGTTGTAATTAAGCGCAAAGCTACACAATGGGCTATCTGTGTTCTGCCCACCACGGGTATTGAAACCCAGTTTCTAGCGTTGTAAGTCCGCAGACATACCGCTGTGCCACTGGGAGGACAGAGCGCAGAGATCACATTGTGTAGCTTTGCACCAAAAAAAACCAAAAAAACCGAGAAATAGGAGTTCAAATAGAAAATGTGATTTTATTTAACATTCAAAAATGAAACAGATAAATAAATGCTCGAGAGTTTTTGTGAAGGTTAATTTCACTTTAACACCAAGTTAAATTGGAATTTCACAAACTATTTCAACAAAATTTGTAGAACGATATCACTTTAAATATTAGCTGTGATTATTCAGTTAATTTGATTTCAAACATTGTGTTTTATTATACCAATGAAACATTGTCCCCCCCCCCCCCACTACGTATTCTTAACTATCAAAAGCTGTCAAAATTCGTGGATTCAAGTGTTAGTCTTTGTACCAAACATCTAGAGCGTAAAGAGATTGTTGAACCTGCATGTGAAAAATTGCTTAATGTAAGCTAACTTTGTTACAGGTACTCGAGAACGTTCTTCAGTCGGCATTTAGAATTTCACATACTAGTTCAGGCTTAATGAAGCTCACTGGATAATGAACACCCTAGATAAGGCTTACAAAAACAGTTAAGGATGTAGATGCCTGAATGGTTGCATTATTTTCATCCCTGGTGTCAAATTTCTTTTATGGTTAATATTCTTAAAATAACACTGCTTCTCTGCTCTGTCTCCTGCAACAGTTTTCCGCCCGTCTGGTTTCAATTGGAACGCTAGATCTTGGCACAAGTAACTGTTAACTGAGGTAGCAAGTCAGGCGTGTCGTACGGCTGCTCAGACCCATTATGAGAGTGACAAAAACCACCCAAGCACAAAATGTGTTTAACTTAGGCTTCCCATAAACAGATAATCCTGCTTCCGTCGTCAACACACGTTAGAAGAACAGTTTGTTAGCGCTCATTTATTTCATTCGTCAGATGCCGAGCATCCAAACGAAGACGTCGCGAGAAGAGAACGCGGCGTTCTTTTCAGTACCTAAGGAATTCCATACGCGGTTGTCGTAACGTTTCGGAGGCAGCTAGTCTAAATTTTAAATGTGTGTCATCTTTAGGGGAAGTGCTCATCAGCACTTAGGACAAGTCTTCCTTGTAAAGTGTCACGGTGAACTTGCGAGTGTTTACTCACTGTAATTAATTGGCGTCAAACAATTCAAAACAGTAATGTCATGAAGAAACAAAACAAAACATGCTACTCTCAGAAATGTCTAGATAAGAAAAACAACAAAAAGCTAGCACACCCAATAAAACACGTGAACAGAGCTGAGTGAGTGGTCTATATTTTATTTCGTATACAGAACCTGAGTTCTACAAAGAGCTAAGCTTCAGTTATTGAAATATTCATTAGTAATGCTAATTTCATAAATACATTTTTTAATCATACTAACCACAGAAGTATATGTGAGTATTTTCTCGAATGATAAGCAGGTTAAAAACACAATCTGGATTCGAGGTTTTACTGTAAAATGTATATGGCTCCAAACTTATGTGTGGTTAATATTCAGAAAATTTTTGTTGTTTATGTCCAGATTAAGAATATAACGATGGCCTATAGAATTTGGTTTTCTAACAAAGATGAAAAGTCGAATTCAAGTGAAAAAATCAAACGAAATATATATTCTTCAGTAACATTCGAATACTCTGTATGTTCCTAAGGGTAAACAATTTATTTTAATAACAAGAATAATTTACAATTATATTTTGTACTAAACGAAACTTCCATTATGAAACATTTAGGGTTCTTCTGACATCAGAAATTGACTAGAGGTTAACGTGTACGAAACGCCGACCGAATGTCATATCTCAACGAATTTTTTTTTCAAAAACTATTAGACCGTTCTAGACTTGGCTTTGTTTTACGTATTAAACTTATAATTGATTACATTCGTGTTTTTAAATCAGCCTATTAAAATTCTTAATATGCAGTGGAGATGAATAAATTTTACTTTTATATTCTTTTTCTTTTTGGTTTTTTACATATCCTGAAAAACAATTGGACGGTCTTAAGAAAAATTATGACAACTATATTTAGCAAGTATAAAATAAACGAAACGAAAATCAAGAATTAACTATATTTTGTCTTAACGTAATTTTGATTCTAAATCCAAATTTGTGAATTTTTTAAAAGCAAACTTGAATCAATCACTTCATAGTATTATAAACATCAAATTCCCGGATCTATTTTATAAAACTGAGAAGTTTAGGGCCAGTTTGTTAATAAAGAAAATACGTTCGAAATGTTTCCTTAAATGGCCTATTATGTTTATCGAAAATTAACAACAAAATTCATTTCATAATCATATTTACATTTATATTTTAACACCAGTGACTATTGTGTATAATTACAAAGAGCCTGCGTAGCGTTTTTGTTGTCGTTTTTTGTGCAAAAGTTAACTTCAGTTTAAGTTTCTGAATCTCTGTACAGCAGAAAATGACAAGAAAACACCATGTTATACTCTAAACAACCCAAGAAAAGTTGTTTTATGGTATATTAAACAACGAAGTGTCTCTGTTGTTGAATAATAATAACCTTGTACACGATTCATTTTCTTTACGTTTAACAATTGCCACAGTTTCAATAGAATATTTTATTTTAACGTATCGATTAATGTAAATTGTCGCGTTTATGAATTAAAATTTATATTCAGCAATAAACTGCCTATGAAAATAAAGTAACTTTTATCAATATTTAACATAACTTATAAAAAAGTAGTATTCAGAACATACCTGAAAGTTTAAAAGATAATGTTTTTTCGTTTAATGTGAACAGATTAAGAAAAGGGGAGTTTAATGCATAGAGAATTATAAACATTCTTGAGAAGAAGAAAAACAAAAGTTTTTTATGTGTAATTTTTCCAAAGAAGCTGATTAATTATTCTAAATATTATTGAAACTTAAAAATATTGTTTGTAATACGTGAGAAGTGCTAAACTAGAACGCTTATTTTCAATATTAATTACTCAATCGAGATACGTGGTAAAACCGATGTCTTCTTGACCATGGCTCACCCAGCAATATGTGGTAAAACCAGAATTTACCTTAATCGTAAGTTAAGTAGGTCAAACGTGTCATTCAATGAGCAAATCGTGGTTAAACTAACTTCATATTCTCTATTGTTCAACCAGTAATACGTAGTAAAACCAGCAGTAGTCTTGAAGTCGTTCAACTGGTAATACGTGGTCAAACCGGTGTTTACCTTGACCATCGTTAACCTGGCAACACATGATACAACAGGCGATACATGGGCGAAGCCAGCGTTTACACTGAAATCGTTCATCCAGTGACACTGGATCAAAACGATGTTTGTCTCAACTGTAGTTAACTCATCTAGCATTTTATATTAAGTTATCGAGTGGTTATTTTGTGAGGTTTTCTAAAAAATGTAAAACAAACAGGAGAGACAAAGATCATAAAACAACGAGTTTCGTATCAGGATTATTTTGCTCGTTAGATTTCTGATCTTCTAATTGTTAGACGGATTGATTTTTGATCTTCTAATTCTTAGACGGGTTGATTTTTGATCTTTTAATTGTTAGACGGGTTGATTTCTAATCTAATAATTGTTAGACGGGTGGATTTCTGATATTTTAATTGTTAGACGGGTTGATTTCTGATCTTATAATTGTTAGACGGGTTGATTTCTGATCTTATAATTGTTAGACGGGTTGATTTCTGATCTTTTAATTGTTAGACGGGTTGATTTCTCATCTTATAATTGTTAGACGGGTTGATTTCTGATCTTTTAATTGTTAGACGGGTTGATTTCTGATCTTATAATTTTCTTCATTCAAGGAATTATTCTAGGACAACGATGTTATTCTTTCAGTTGAACGTTTATATATATATATAGTTCCTGGCAAAACTTTATTTGAAATAACTAGATAAGAAGTAATGTTTCCATCATTAGATGAATAGAATGTACGAAACAGTCAGTTTTGAAACTCAAGAACTGAAGGAATCGGTCTTTTCGATTAAGCTTCTATAGGAATAATATTGTAAAAAGTTGACTTTTTAATTCATGAAAAAGGCGGTTTATTCTATGTAGTACTATTAAAAATTTAAAATGTAAAAGTTGTGAGGATTTTATGTTTATTAAGATAAAGAAATCAATTTAAGGTAACTTAAGACTTCAGATGTGAGGTATTAATTTTTTGTTACTAAACCAGGTTTTATGCAAAGGATTGTAAGATTTGACTCACATTTTTTAGAACAAATTGATAACACATTGTAGAAAGTGGCACGTAAAAATAAACCCACGTACTGTATATGTATTGGTCTGTATGTATATATATGTGTGTATATGTATATATATATATATACACAAGCCACATATAGATATAGTAGCATTAACATTAAATTTAAGCCCAAAACACAGGTAAATCCAAGAATTATTGTTCTACGCATTTATGTGTGCACAATGTTGTTACAGGAAGCGAAACGTTATAAAATAGGTTAACGTATCACAGAAGTCCCCATTAAGCGATACGGAGTTTCCTTTACTTCTACAAGGGGATGCAACTTCAGCACAAACACACCGACGAGCGTATCACATGACTCTTGTAACATGGAAGTTTTCTTCAAGGCCATCGCTGCTATAAGTCAGACTGAAAGTTTTCTTCAAGGCCAATCGCTGCTACAAATCAGATTTAAGGTTATTTAAATAGTGGTCGAAAAATGCGAGTCTTCTGAAGATACCACCACGATAGCAATCCCTCTTTCATTATAACAGCGTTCTCAGAGATTCGCACTTTTACTCCCAAGAGACTGGCTAGTTTCCTCGGTTAAAACTACATAAGAAATTACACAGACACTCGAGTCATTTTTTTAATCTCTGAGGATCTCTCGCGACTTGTTACTGACTAGTCTGTTACAGACCAGAGCAGAGCCACCAAACACCAGAGAAGCCAAGCTTGTAGGTAACAGCCGGAACCATGATTCAAAGCTAAAAGATAAACAAATACAGCTTACAACGCAAGCAATTTATTTTAAAAAGTTTGTTGTTCCTTTTGATTATAATAGTAATTAAAATTTAACATAACTTGAAATACTTTCTTTTTTTTTCATTTTGAACGTTTCTAGAACTTACAAGGTTTATGCGAGGAAAATGATTGTATATTATACTTAAATACATGTATATATACATATATATATATATATATATATGGATCTTTGTAAAATGTATCATAATTAGCATCTTAGGTGGAATATAAAGAATATATTTATTCCAACTCAACTGAAATCCATCTACCTCTTTATGGAATCACTGATCGAATATATAAAAAGTTTTTTTTCTTTAACCCAGTACAGTTGCAAGTGTTTACTTAGTTATTAGGGTCGTGATGTTTTATCCAAGCCAATACGTCACGGTTCTTTATTATATTGGAGTCTCGTGTCTTTATCTAAGCAAGAAAAGTCTCTGCTCTTTATCTAACACAAAAAAGTGACAGATTATAATCCAACCTAGGACTTTATTTAACTCAGTAGATTTTGGGTCTTTAATTAACAAACCAGAAATATCACGGATCTTGATCTATCCCAGTGGAGTTTTGAGTCTTTAACTAACCCGGTAGAGGTTGCAAACGGAATTTTCTCTTGCTTACGGAAATCTTTATTAGGTCATAAACATGTCGAAGTGTATTGGAAACTACCATTCTTATAATAGGAGTAAACCTAAATTGTCCCCGATGGGGCAGCGAAAATTGTACGGATATACAACGCTAGAATCCGGAGTTCGATTCCCGCAATGAGCCCAATGCAGCTTTGTCCTAAAGCAAACAACAACAAACATCTACTTAAATTATCCCTTTATCAATACCGACAATACTTTATAGCATCTACTATGAACTTGGATTGACATTATGATGCAGTAAAGTGAAGTATCTTACCAGAGCCACTATTTTCTGACACATGAAGACCTGAACTTTGACGAAGATTACCAACTACAGTTTCTTTGCTGCTGGTACCAATTACTCTGGAAACAGTTGCCGTGCACTTGAGACGAAGCCCATCTGAGAGGAAGTGTTCCTGATGAACTCTGAACTTTAAGCCTAGTACAGCAGATACCGTGTTATCCACGTACTGGATGTCAGAATATTTAATGATGTAGTCCGACTTCGCCTGCATGGAGCAATGTTAAAAGATGATTATTTTAATTCATACTAAAAATCAACAAGTCTGGTAAACCGGATCCAAGAGAATGATCAAAAACATATTCAAAAGGCTGAGTACGTTATATTAAAACGACTGGAAGGTGCAAATCACGTGAGAACAATCGCCGATATAAAGTCACGTTGAAACAATAAATATTACAACTACATTTTAATATTGTTCGTAAGTAGTGTGGTGCGGCCGAAAATTGTTTGCTTTTGAGAAAGGTATGTGACAGCCTGAAAATATTCATTTACTTAGATAATAAAGATGGGATAGTCGTTAAAATTAATGGCATTGGAAAACAAAGGAATGTGAATTAATTTGAGGCGCCATGATCATAAAGACAAGGACCTTCAAGAAGTCGTTCCACAGCAGTGTTACGCAAAGTGCGGCGTCTTCTAACAAGTGAGAACCCACGAATACAAAGGTCAGTGGTAAAACTCTCTATGTGGTCCGAGAAATAGTAAGTTATCTGGAAAAGCGAGATAAGTTACGCATATACAAGTTGCTTCCACGACATATATTTTCAATCATCGCATACCTCAAATAGATGGGGAAGAAATCGGGTATTCATGCTATTCCATATGAAGACATATCAGTCAAGTTGTCAGGCGCAGATTTCTGGATTTCTGTGCGATTGGATTGTTGAAACGGGTGCTGGAAAACCGTCGTTCACGTAAACATAGATGGGTTATGGAAAGCAAGCAGGAAGAAGTGGTGTGCTGTGGGCATGATAACCTGACGAGGAGACATGTCCACTATGCTATTGTCAAGTTGCATGGTCATCAGACAGAGTATGATGGGAGGTGGCTGCATGGATCATAACGACGTGATGTGGCTCCAAAATAGTTTTAATATAACGTATTCAACCTTTATATTCGTACTGAGAATAATACACATGTATTCAAACAATTACAACTATCAGCTTACACCCAGGAGATGTGAATTATATAGTTTTATTAAAGTATAAAGACGTATTTAAGTACAATACTACTTAATCGAGTTGATAACCAGAACAGTGGCTGATATGTATATTCCAGTTTAGATTTAGCACTTCCGCCTAGCAGTGCTCTTTTTTTTCAGGTCTAGCATTTCCATTATCTGTTTTCTTGTTGAGATCTAAAATTTTAGGATTAACATGTTCTAGTGTAAATCCAGCATTTTCGGCTGATTAGCCATGTTATTGTTGGAATCTAATATTTCTGGCTAGTCTATTCTTGTTGAAATCTAACAATTCCGCCTCAACATATTCTGGTTGAGACCTAGCATTAGATTCATTGTATTTGTTTGTTCTTTATTCTATACGGGTGCATTGAAATTTTTTACCCTAATATATAATATAATCTCTCTTAAAGTTCTGTCTACAATTCGGTACATTATACACGCTCACTGAGACAAATATATTATTTATATAAACGTAATTTTGTTATATGCCCATCAGTAATACTTACTTTTAATACCTAATCCAAAATGTGTTTTTATTATAGTTAACCGTTAGAAATTAGCAGTTATGTTTCTTATTATAATAATAGTAGTGTTGACAATAAGTCAGTCTTAGCAACCTTCTACCACAATCTGTTCTCGAGCAGATCTTTTAGATGTAGAAAAACGAAAACATTCTATTAAAAGTAATGCTTTAAATATAAATTCGATTAAGATACTTTTACATTAGAAGCATTTGTTGAAGTGTTTTCTGAGCTATAAGAAGCACTATGTTCAAATTAAAGTATTATATTGCTTCACTGATATTTTTCTTTCTTCTTTTATCTAGAAGAACAATTTGTTAATTGAATTTCGCGCAAAGCTACTCGAGGACTATCTGCGCTAACCTTCCCTAATTTTAAACTGGTAGACAAGAAGGATGGCAGCTAGTCATTACCACCCATTCAAGGACTACTATTTAACAACGAATAGTAGAATTGATCGTCACATCATAACATCCCCAAGACTGAAAGGGCAAGCATGTTCGGTGGCAGGATTCGATCCCGCGACCCACAATTTGCGAGTCGAGTGCCCTAGCCATCAGGCAATGGCAGGCCTAAAAGAACAGAAGTCCTGCAGGTTATCTTTATCAACGAATTATTTCAAAGTAGGAATACTCACTAGAAACTATTAATTCCTAAATATTTAAACATACGATATAAGTTAAAGTAAACTTAGGCTATGAGAGAGTTTAACTAAAAATAAGTTTAACTACCTCTAAAAATCTGCGAATATACAATTGTTACCTGTTCTCTCTGACATGTGTATTTTAAGACAATTGTTTGGGAAGAGGAATCTTCATATAAAATTTAGTTTATTTTCCTAACTAAACAAATTATGTTCGATTGCAATTCTATACTTATTTAATGTTCCTATCCTGTCTTGTAGTAAAAAATCAAATTCAAAACCGTAAATAAATACGAATTAAGTTCCAGTATCACAGCAAGAACTGTGATTACATTTGATATAGGTTTACGATCAGTACAAAAAAAGGCTTTTAATATTATTGTATAAATAGGTCCCAAATCTATTGAAAACAATAGACACAATTAAAACTAATACATCGTTCGATTGCAGTATTGAAAATAAGATGTTTTATTGTTATCTTCAAGATCTAGTAGAAACGTAGCACTGATCATTTATTTAAATGAAATAAGCTTATGGATCAAATTTCTCAGTTCGGCAAAATATAACTTATTCATCCATACCAACGATATGCGTTTGAACGACTGCTATTTGGTTTCTTTTAATTTTTGTTTTCCTAGTGGTAGAGTTTTTACTTCATACTCTTGGGTGAACTAATAAACACTTACTTCCATGAGTGCGAGGTTTGAATTGTTAAACGGTCGCTTTAAACAAAAGATAATAAGAAGTATTTAAAACACAGACGTCGAGAATATTAATTATACCAACATTTTTCGAATATATTTCTATCCCAGAGCAGCATTTCTGCTAATGATCATTCGGACTGTGTTCAGTAAGTTTGAATATATTTCTATCCCAGAGCAGCATTTCTGCTAATGATCATTCGGACTGTGTTCAGTAAGTTTGAATATATTTAATTACGGAATAAACGAGTTTTTTCTTTATTTAGTTTAATTTGGTTTGTTTTGAATTTCGCGCAAAGCTACACGAGAACTACGTGCGCTTGTCTTCCTTAATTTAGCAGTGATAGACTATGGGGAAGGCAGCTAGTCAACACCGCCCACCTCCTACTTTTGGACTACTCTTATACTAACGAATAGTAATGGGATTGACCGTCACATTACAATGACCCCCACGGCTGAAAGAGCTATCACTTTTAGTGTGACGGAGATTCGAATCCGCGACCCACAGATTGTGAGTCGAGTGCCCTAACCACCGGGCCCTGCCAGGACTTCTATATTTAGATCCAATTTGATGGTAGGAAATACAACATATGCCCCAATGGCTAAGCCACTTTCGAAAATCTACACACACACAAAAGATTGCAATTGTAAAGTTGCTAAGACTTATAAGCCTTTAAAAAGTTGTTTTATTTCAAAATAATTTAAGTTTTATGATACCGAATATCAATGAAGGAATTGGATACATTTCCTCAGAATCTAAACAGTCTAGACCGTTTCGGGTGTTATTTGATCTTTAATTCACTAACCCCTATTTAAGGTCGAAACGACATATTACCTACTCTTATATCCTTTTACCAGGATACTCTAACAGTATTAAGAAGAAATAAACTTCTTTTCCGTGATGTTGTTGCCCTCTAAAAAAATTAACAATTACTGACCAACAAACAGACAGATAACTTGTTTGTACAAACTTGCCTATACCCAATCCCATGTACTCACGTACAAAGTAGTGGTCGAAGCATTACAGGCAAGTTATAAAAACTAGACAGGGTTTAGTGATGTTCTATTTTTGTTGCTTTGAAAGGAAGCTCAGGGTATGTTCCAGGCAGCAAACTGATGCTGAAACACAGTCGTCAATACTTTTCTACGTCATTCTACTGGAATTTTCAAGTGATCTCTTTTAACCATTTTCATTCTCAGCTTCTGTAAGGTCACACTCTTATACAACTTCACTGTTTCAGGCTTGTTTTTGTATCTTGAAAGTTGTTTCTTAAAACAAAATTATTCTACTATTAGAATAAAAAAACATTGAAATGTCTGAAGCCTATGTACATCATATTTAAAAAGCCCAAATAATCAACACATAGTAGGACTTAGCTATGAATTGATTTATGCCAATGTTTAACAGCCAATTTGCATCGGAAACTGACCAGTACATTTTTGTTCAGTTGATGTAATAACTACTAGTTGTAGTTTCTTGATGCACCCAGTATAAAACAAATAATATATTTTGTATTTTGACAACTAGGGTGCATACATAACTTTGAAGTAATAATCACCCTCTTCATTTCTTTTCATAGTTAATTTGGTTAAGTAAATAAAATAAAAGGTATAAATTACTTTCGTACTTTACAACTTCTTGGAAAACTTTGTTAATTATAACAACTATCTTAAGGAAAAGATTAAATCGTGCTGGTGTTGGCTTAACCTAAAAACCCCAGCCTTCTAATTCCGGAAACCTCTTATCGCTGACCCAAAGGAGTCCTCTGTTTCTACTGAAATGACAAGTAAGGTTTAGTTATGACTGGACAATTTTTATTTAATCAGACATTCAAGTATACATTTTATTATTTAAGTTTGTTTATTATTAAGCACAAAACTACAACATAGGCTATCTGCCATCTGCCCACAGTGTATATCAAAACCAGGCTATTAGCATTATAAGCCCTCAGACTTACCGCTGAGCCACTGGGAGCATATTACTCAAGTTTCTCTACTGTGACTAATTCATGGCATCATCACTTAGATATAACACCATACTAATGTTTTTAATTTAAATTAACATAGTGATAGCATAATGTATCCACTTAGATATGTTACGTATTACAATTTTGAATAGTATGAAACCAAGTTAAATGATAATTTAATTTTAGTAGTTAAATATATGCCGATATATCTTCAATTTATGATATTTGCCAACGAGATTGATACACACAGTTTTCTTTTTAATACAAATATATTTTAATATGACTAACAACAATACAATTTACAATAACAGTTATTACAAGCAATAATTT